TAGATATCAGAAATGGTTATTGTTGTAATACTATTTGCAATTACTTTAGACTTAATAGACATACTTTCCTATATTTATGGTCACCACAAGTTATTTATAATGTCTAGTTTTGCAACATTCAAATTACCATATTTAAAGCAATATGGCTATAATCTTTAAGACCGCATTGTTTGAATTATTAGAAGAGAAATTAATACTTAAAATAACGGTAGTCTTAAATTTTTATGATTTCCCGTTAAAAAATACACTCGTAATAATTCATATTTTTAACTCCGACTATGGTGTAATGTTCAATATTAAGCATTAAAAAAATAGCAGTCATTTTCATCTTTCTACAGTCTGTTTTTAAAAACCCAGCACAATAGAGTCGCGGTATAGTGGGGACCCGGTACAGTTTGGACAAGTATATACGATATCTGACTGTAATTAACAACACTATTATAAAAAACTATTCGATATGAATCTGTTAAATTTCACAATAATTTGTATATTTATAATTTTACAATTTAATAGCTAAATGTAAAAAAATAACAGTTAACCAAATCTTTTAATAATGGATTGTTTTCTTTTTCCGTTCAGCAATTCAATTGCTGTTTTAAAATTTCACTCAAATATTAAAGGCTCGTTAAATTATTTTTATCATCACACAATATGCATTGGAAATTTCTGTAATCGTATAGTCTTTTGCTTAAACAATCAATTATTATCCTTTGGGACACATGGAGTACATAAAACTAGATTTATATATATTTTATTTAATTGCGGTTTTTTTTACTTTGACGGCCTATATTATTTTCATATAAGAACAATTGTCGGATTATTATTTTGGTACAATTAAAAAGATTTAATTTGGTTTAAACCTTCCCAAACATTTTCAAAAATTGAGTTGAAAAATTTTTTTATACATATTCAATCGTTTTCTTTTTCAAACTCTTCTATACTTAGTTTTTTCATTGGGTTTTTTAAAGATATATCGAAAGAAAGCTTATTATTTCTTATTAAACGTTATTTAGTATCAGTATTTTTATAAAAAATGTATAGCAGTTTGAAAATACAGAACTTTTTTTTTGTTTTTGAATATGTCGTTTTTAACGACTTATTTTGAGATATTTTTCTAAATTTTTTAAATTGAGGTGGCTTTTTTTAATTTTTAGCGATGATAATTTAAACTAAATTAAAATCGTTAATACGTCAAGTATTAATCATTAAAATTAATTTAGCAAAACTGAGAATTTTTATGGACAGACTTAAAAAAAAAAGCTCATCATCACGAAACCAATACCTTCTTTTTCAGCTTCAAATAAAAGCTAATTTTGACGTTTTTATAATAGTCCGTTATAAATAAAAACGGTTCAGTTAGTAAAAGTCTATACCTACAAATTAACAATAAAATATTTTTTCATATAACTTCTAATTAGATTTCCATATCGTGTCCTTCTACCCGCACGGTTTCATACACATTTTACAATTATGAAACAACTTGGCTCTTATACATTTAACATCCACTTGCAGTCGAATAATACAATAGATATTATCAAAAAATTGTACTTTTATTGTTCCATTTTTATCGTTATTCAATATAATTAAGTAAAAAAATTAATTTAACACGATAAAAAAAATTTGTAATTACTTTTTATCCAGATGTAAAAAATGATCAATTTTTTGTAGTCCCACGTAGGTCAGTGACGGCACAATTTTGAGAGACCCTGGGCTAAATAAATTACAACTTATGCTAGGCCTTGCATAAATTATAATTTATTAGGTCTTCAGTAATATTACAATTTTAGAACCTCAAATATGATTTTGAATCACAGGGGTAACTGCCCTTATTGTCCATTCGCGCCATCCCTGTTTTTGGTATGCAAATTTTTCAAAAAATCCTAGTGATAATTCATCCAGTCTTTATACAATACACCAAAGTGTAGTTATAATCTATTCGTCTACCAACTTTAAATAAAGATTTCTTTACATAAAACTGTGGTTAGATATGCTAAATTTAATATAAGTGAAAAACAACAGTTATTCTTAGTCAAAATTAATAATTTATCGTTTAATTCTTGATACCGTTATTTAAATTATTTTTTTATTCAGTGTAATACAATACATCATGAAGTAAATCACTTTCACGAAGTATTTGAATGCATAACGAACAATAACATCAACTGATTGTAATAAGACAAAGAGAACAACTGTTTTGCAAACAACGGCCGTAAGAAAATAATAAAATAACATTTTAACACTTAGACCACATAATGTCTAAATGCATAGATTAAATGCACTGCCTCAACTATGTCTTCAGCGTCACTGTAACAAACCAATTAATGATTTTTTAAGAAAAACCAAATTCCAGAGAATGAAAAAATTGTTTCTGTAAGATATTGAATAAATAGATTCGATGTTATGTCAAAACAAATCAACTAATTATACACCGTGTTTATAGCTATTTTATATTATAATTGTAATGGTAATGATCCATACAAAGAATGAAATAAGAAAGTCTATCAACAGTGATTCACTTTTTTAAAAAAGACGTGTTCAGAATTTGCATGTCCAAATATGTTTATGTCCTCCAGCAGTTGTCCAACAGGAATAAAATAACAGTAAAATTTTAAAGAGACGAATAACTCGCGTTTGTGTAAAATGAACCACATGAATTTTTAAGAACTGACCAGCCTGCTATTACTCTCAGTGTGACATCACCAGTAACTGGTGATTTTTTAATAACTGTTATTGAAAAATATCACAAGAATTTAAAGACGTAACACATGATTGTTATCGTGTTTCTTAGACTACGCTGCTACTACAACAAAGATGCAATACTGATAATCAGCTTATTGTTGATGAGTATTATCTTTAGGATACTTCTTCCTGAAAACATTCCACTTTTGACGCCGCTACTTATACATTTCACTTGTCATATTTTTTTATCGATATCCACGCTAATTGATTGCTTTCGCGAGACGTAACACTGACACACGACATCGTGTATTTGGTATAAATAACAATCAACTGTCGTTGTCACAATCAACAGTTCTCATGTATAATATCAGTGATGTTAACACTGCGTAGGCATTGCTGCTATTTTACCGTTATGCAAAGTTCAGCGGACCACTTGCAACAGCAGCCGTTATAGATAAAAGTGAAACCGATACGACCGTGGAACTGAGAGATGTTTTTTTCGTTTTCATTTGAAGGGCGGGATTGAGAAAGTAGTTCGACCGGACCATAGTATTTTTTAATGCTTATAGGTTCTTTTTTAAAACTCAGCAACGATGGCCACTGAATCCCCGAGGCTGCCCGACAATACGAAAGCGGATCCCAAGTTGTTATCGTTTTCACTCTTCCCGACCCCCCGGCACGGCTTTTCGACTTAAAGTACTAATGCCAAAAACCGGAAATTATATGTCTGCTGGTATAGTATTTAACTAAATCACCAAATATGTACAATTAATTATCAGAGTTCAAAATGGATAAGCTCGAACCATTAAAACGACAGTAATATGTCGATCGGATATTTAAACTTGCCGCAAGACAAATACAACTTCCGGTAAACAGTTCAATTATTATTTATTACTTGTATTGAATTACTTGCTACTTAATAAAACTATAGGTGTATAAATAAATTTACTATAAAGAAATATGTAGTAAAACAAAAAATCAACCGATTCTCATGTTGATTTTTAACATTACGTGTTTATTATAATATAGTAGAACTTTTCAGTAAACATACACCCAAAGAAAAACCTCAATCAATTTTGATAGAGAAATTTTATCAAGGGTTTATGATAATGTTTTATTAATACGAACAAAATAACTATTCTTATAAATAATTATTGTTCAAGACAAGAAAAAAAATTATCATATTGATAAATATATCATAGATTCAATAGTAATGATATATTTATCAAATTGAACAATGAATTTATTATATAGATCGAGGTTTTTCTCTGGGTGTATATTTAGTTTATTAATCACATTACTCTATTAATATAACGATTTGTCAAATTTACACAAATTATACTTGTTACTATTATTACTTCATGAGGTCCTGCACAAAAAATACCAATTAGAAAAATAAATAAATCTTTGATTAGACAATAAAATTTAATGTTTACAACAAAGTGTGGAAAAAACGCCTCTTTTAATTATACCAATCATTAACACAACCATGTATACCGCAACAATAGAATAGCTACTACTATTCAATATTTCTTATTATTAAATTAATATTTAAAAGTACTTTAAATGAGCTTGATATTGTCTATACGAACAGTTGTATCACTGAAAACATCGTTTGTTTTTAAAACTCAAAATGCTTTAACTTTGTATATATAAATACGCGTTCGACCTTAATCTAAATTATAACCAATAAAAAAAGTAATTATAAAACTAAATGCATTTAATTAAAATCACTATCTTAACTTAACAGTTGAATCACGTTATGGATTAACTTGGCGTATAACAAGTAATAAATAAATAACATTGTAAATATTTTTTTTATTTTAATCTGCATACATATATTAAACTAGAAAAAACCGAAATCCATTTAACAACATAGTCTACGCGTGTGAAGATGATAAACTTAATGATAGATTTTGCTGCATAACAAAAAAAATATGTTCTTTTAATTTATGACTAAACATTTATTTATTAATTTTTAAACACATAACATACAAATTTATGTTGCTAGTGATCGATTAATGATCCGAAAATCAAATTAACATAAGTGACTATTTTTTTTTTTAATTTTTGGATTTATTTTTTATGGATTAATGTATTTAAAAACAAAATAAACATTCAACTCTTGAAAATTAAGAAAAAAAATTGATGTTTGATTAAATCTTAATTAATTTATTATTCAATCTGTTGAGAAAAAAAAACTAAAGTTTGTATGCTTAACGCAAATAAAAAATAATGCAACGAAATTACACTTGGATCAGTATGTTTAAATTGGTTGCATCAAGTCTCAGTATAAATTATTTATTAATTACGATTCTGACCTGTATGAGTAAATTAGAATGCATGACTAATTATGTCCTTAAGATATAAGTAAAATCTTCAGACTTATTAGTAATATTTTCGCATAAGCCATCATAATGTGTATGTTCTTATTTTCTTCAATGTCATTATACAATTTTCACACGCTGTTAAACCTGTTAAAAGCAAATAATATTAAAGTAAAAAAAACAAATAAAAATCTTTTAATTCATCTATTAACACGAAATTATATCCGAGAGTAAAATAAATATTATTATATAAAATATATAATGATTTTAATTTTGATGCAATTTGAAATTTTATTATACAAGAAAGTCAGTTTAAATTGAAATGACATACTCAATAATAAATATTAATCGAATTCTAATACTTTTGTTTAACGAAACTGTTGAGTATATGTAATTTAACAAAACAAAATGTATAACTGCAAAATTGCAAATGATTGATAGTTGGTTATTATCTATACAGCTCAAGGTATTTTGACTCTCCGAACAAAATAATAGATTTATATTTTTTTAAATCTTTCCTTGCTGATTCTTTCATAATTCGAAAAAAAACGCTTAAAAAAAAAATTAAACCTCATTCCTCTAGTAACCATTACTTTTTAAATTTAAATTTTAAAAAATAGAAATGCAAACGATAATTTTTAATGAGCAAAAAAACAGTACAAATAATTATGAAATAATAATCTATCTTCCGAAAAAAGAGTTATAATTGGACCACCATTATAATTTATTAAGTGACTAAAAAACGTACTCGTTATATGGTATTTCAATACATACAATATGATTTGTTATAAATACTATCCATTATTTTTTGCTCAATTTTTTTCACAAAGATGTATCGAAACAGTTTTATCTACTTTTATTACCCATACTGATAAAAATAATATTTTATTTAAATTATTATTTAAAAATTGGTTATCTACGAATCATTTTCTTTAGTCTATTCCTCATCTAATTGTAAAAAAAAATTATAGATGTTCTTTCAAGATTCAAAAATTTTCACTCAAGGTTACGCCAAAATATAATATAAAAAAAACCCAGCACAGGGGGATCGCGGCACAGTGGTGACGTGACATAATTGGGTCAAGTATAATGATAACTGACAGTGATTAAAATCACTATCATAAAAAGCACTTTGATGCAAATCTTTAGATAGTGTTTAATTTTAAAAAGTTGGTGGATTATTCCAAAAGCTACATGATCTGCTATTTCCTTATTTATATCCTGATTAGGATAAAGTATGTCGAATTAAAGATGTATATAAGTACTACTTCTCATGAAAAAATTGAATTGAACCATACGTATTTTAAAAAGTTATAGCATTTTAAAGTAAATAATGTAAAATATAAAATTGAGAATTTTCAGACAAAAATAGCATTCGGTAGCCATTTTCACCATGAAAACAAAATAAAGTCCGAAATTCTTTATTTTCATAATAAAGTACATTACATTAGGTTTAATTTAAGATATATAAAAAAGTGTCAGACTTTCCGGAATACTTTCAAAAATTAAGTTGAAAAAGTTGTCATTTTTAATCCCCCCTGTGGGCAAGTAAAGGGTCAGATTTATAAAAAAATATATCAAATGATAGGTAAAGACATCAAGCATCTATAAAAAAAAAATTATATTGATTTGGTCATTTTTAAAAAATTATGGCAGTTTTAAGTAAAAATACCTGCTCAGCTTCGCATCGAAGCTAAAAATTGAAAAAATGTCGAAAATTAGCGATTTTAAAATTTGTAATTTTTTTTGAGATTTTCCCCATTTACGGGGAACGAGGGAAATATTTTCAATTTTTGAAGGTAATATCTTTGACTAGATACGATTTGTAATCTTTTGACGTATCGTTGAACGAAATGGGTTCGGCGAGAGCTGAAAAACAGTGGTAACAGACACAAAAAAAAAAACACATCATAGTAAAACCAATACCTTCTCAGCTTCGTATCGAAGCTAAAAATTCTTAGTTTGTAATAAAAAATAATGTATAGTAGTTTGGCGTTGATTTAAAATAATTTTCTTTTTATTTGTGTATTGTATTAAAAATTATAACAAAATATTCAGATTCTCAGATGTAAAACATGCATTTCAAAGATTATTTAACACATTTAATAATTAATTAATTGTAAACAATTATGTTTTAATTGTAAATGCACGAGATAGTGTTTAAACATGTCTACATAACTTGATTTTATTTCACTGAAACTTAAGGAGACCGTAAAAAGAAAGCTACTGAAACAATAAAGATATTACTAGAGGCGATTGTAAAAAACATTTCATTTTAAAACATCTGCGCTGTTATTTAAAATATGATATGAAATTTTATTAAGTCATATTGTACTTACACACATTTAATATCCTAATCGTGTAATAACTCATAATGGCCTCGAGGTAAATTTCTGAATAATTTGTACAAATAACATATAATATAATAATAGTGGATATAATTAACAAAGTAAATAAATATATATGAAAACCCATTAATTCATACATATAAAAAATATATTCTTTTTAGGTAAACGTATTTTAATACATTTTTAAGATCTATACATAAATATTAATAACATAAGATTCAAAAGTTATTATTATCTATTTAACAAAATGTAAAAAAGCAAATATACTTAAATGAGGGGAGCAATTATTAGAGAACAAACAATCACTTAAGTCACTTTTAATATTAGTTTAAAAGTTGATTCCAAATAAATTTTGGTATCCTTAAATAATTTGTTTGGTGACTAGATGTTTATTTTGTTTGCTTTTCAATTTTTAATAAAACATTAAATTGCAATTGTTCTAGAAATAGCATTATTTTATTATTTCATGAAATTATATATTAATTATTTAAATTAAATTAATTACACTTACGTATAATAAAAATTTTAAATAAAAGGTTATACTTAAAATTAAAACTATATTAAAAATATTATTAATTTATGGCAAAAAAATATTAAACATATTAAACTCAAAAAGCCACAAAAAAATCTTATTTAATGTAGCTTTAATTTTAAAAAATATTAGCCACAATGATCAATTTTTATTATATAAAAGGTTATAATTTCATGGTATACTAACCAGAAGTTCCATCCTCCATCTTTACTAGTGCTTACCTACTTTTAATTGTTAGTTAGTAACTATATAAATTAGTTTTATTTTTATCGCTAATTACCAAGTTATAGGAATTTAATTTTGATTACTTTCGTGATAATTCCTACATTGTTCAATGTAATTTAGTGATAAAATAAAATAATAAAAAAAAAGGCTTTCACGTTCATATTTATCTACAGGAAATTTTATACTCAAATATTATCAAAAATTAAGTTTCTTAATTAGTTATGTAATATCGGTCAAGTAACCATATCTTTAAAGATATTAATATAGTAGAAGTATCCAAAAACTATGTTACACACATCAAATTGTATTTTAATATTAGTCTACAAATTTTATTTCATTAGGTTTGTTAGGTTAATAACATTTTTTTAGTTCATCCAGTCAAACTAATTGTTAGGTTTATCAATAGAGGTATTGATAGATTAAAGCGGATTAAACTCAAAGATTGAATTGAAAAAACCAGACAAATATTAAGGACAAAATAGGTCTATTTAGTTATATATAACTGATTTATTTTGATAAAAAAAAAAAATCTTTAAAAAAACATTGTTTTATCTAGAATAAATACCCTATTCGAAGGTTTCCAGACCATATTTAAATTTTTTAACCAAAAAAAAAAACATTAATAAACGCACTTAATAATTATTAAAAAATAATAATTAATAGTAACCTAAACGTTTCTATAATTTATTTATAATAAATACTTTATAATTCTCAAATAAATATTTTAATAAAATTATGACTTGTAGCAGTTAAAACAAAAAACTTGTTCACAATTTCACAAAAATTAGTTTTTTAAACCTTTATGTTTATTACAAAATTTTTCCAAAAACGTAGTTAAAAGGTAAAGCCTATCCTGAGTTTGCTCCATTAAGACACTTAAACGTTAAACGGACCGACCTACTACTTTTGGTAGAGATATTTATCTTTTACTTTTCAATTTCTTAAAAAAAAGTAACGTATAAACAACTATTTTAATAATAAACAAATTTATCTTTAATTAAACGAATAAAACTATTATAACAATAACTATTCTTGTATCTAGTCATAGATAATAATGGAATGGATTGAATCTTCCTATACTAAAAGCACAAGGATCATGTGCCAGAATAGGAAAGAGTGATAAGCTATTATATAGAGCTTTTTTACTCTAGCTCATTCATAAAATTTATATTGCAATCCCTTGTCCAAATGATTATTCGTGTATGATAAATCTTCACAGATATCCACTTTTTAATTATAATTTTATCTAGTACAATGTGTAAAAGAACTTTTTCATGCATAAGACGTTTGAGACACTATATTAAGAATCAAATGACTAATGATCATTTAGTAAATTTGTAAGTGAAATTTCTTATGGAAAATGATAAAAGAGCCCAAAATTTTTGGCACCATCGATATAATTTTCTGGTTACGTGCCTGGGAATTTTACAATAAAATAATTATCTTTGATAATATAAATTTATTTATATATTATACCTTCTTAGATTTGCGACGAAGTTAAGAAAGTATTAATTTTACCATGATGAATTTATTTAAAATTTTTTTTATGACTGTCACTATTTTTTTATTAAGTATCACTGGACCAATTTTTCTAAACAACACGACAAGATATCACAAATGATATCTAGTTGAAGACATTACACTCAAAAATTGAAAATTTTTTATTTGTTCTCCGTAAATGGTAAAAATTGACCGCAAAATGGTGAACTATAAACAGGGACCTCATTTGAGAGTGAGGGTCAGGGTGTGCGGTGCCCCCTTACTTAAAAAACAGTCCCAATGGATTGCAAAAATAATGCACCAATTTTTTATACATCAATTCAAATTTTAAAAGCATTGTATTATCATTGTTACATTAATCAGTTTACAAATATTCTGTTATCAATTAAATGAGTAAACAATAAATATATCATACTAAACTATTGATATTCGTACCGGACGCAAGATATTGATATTGATGTTCGTAACAGTATTTATCACAACTTTTTTACCGCGCAGTTAACAGCAATAATTGATAACGGTAATGAACTGATAAATATTAAATTCAACGATTACTACGACCCCGACTCTACGTTATATTATATAATATTAAAATAGTAAGTATTATTATAATTTATATTTATTACATATGTTGATTGTGATTTATAATCTATAGAAAAAATTAAAAGAAGAATAATTTACTTAAGTAGGTAGTATCTATTTTTATATTGATAAAATTTTCAAAATAGCCTACTTGAAATTTCGCACATCCAAAAAACTGAAATGACGTTCCTGTCTATAAATTGGTAAATTTAGACATTTTTAAAACTTTTTTCTTAGAATTGTCATAACACTTTAAAAACAATTTTTTTTTTTTGAGTAAATACAGTAAATACCTGTTCACATGGGGGCAAAATAGCAACTTTTTTATGAAAAGTTAACTTTTAAAAATGTTCCGAAAGTTTTCAATTTTATATTTTTAACTTTAAATTGCAATAACTTTTGAAAAAATGTATGAAAAAGCATACATTTTATTTTATAAACACTATATATATATCCCTTTTATCTGAAATACTTTTTTTTTTTAATCACACTATTTCTTGGTATACAGATAGGATTGAACATTTGAAACATGTATAAATAGTAGAAGTTTTTCAGCTTAACTTTTAAAAAATTTCCCGAAATACGGCGTTTTTTAAACACATTAAAGTTTATATTACGTACTATAAGTTACGAAAAAAAAAAAATTTGCCTCTACGACTTATCTTCTTTGCAGAAATAGTTGCTGTAGTTAAAAATCACACTATTGTTAAGTTAAATTTTTTATTTTTTCAATTGCCAAAACTTATTGAGAAATATATGTATTGATACAATTTTTTGTTGTACTAGGTATATACATTGTAATAAACCAAAAAAAAAGGAATAATTTTAAGGAGTAATTAATTTATTAATTCAATATAGTGAGAATAATAAATATTTAAAGGGATGAAATTATGGAATGGATTAATATTCGTATGTCGGGGTTGAATAATATGAGGCTCTGGGTGGCATGGATGTAGAGGAGTGGATAGAGGAAGAGGACGTCCAGGAGGCGTTGACCTCTATCCTCTTTACGGGTAAGGAAAGCTCACCAACCGGCCCAGCTGTGGTCCGGCTGTACGGTAGCGGCAAAGACCGTTACGCACGGATCGGGGTGCCTGTTAGAGACGCGGCTCCGTTGATTGGATTGGCACGACTGCACATATGCTGGTCGTCGTAAAGGTTGCGTGCCCTAGAGGACAAGGGGCCGCGATGCTTCAAGTGTCTGGAGCGGGGGCATGTCCAAGTTGCCTGCAAGGGCCCGGACCGATCCGGAGCATGCTTTGCATGTAAAGGATCGGGCCACCTGGCAAAAGATTGCCCCGAGAAAACGAAAAAGGCCTCAGGAAACCAGACCCTTTTGTTTTCAATGTTTGTGTGTTTTTCTTTTCTCAACCATACCAAAGTCCTACCCCCACCTCCACGTGGTGCGGCCTGAGCAACGGATCCCACCCTGGGATCCGTTTAACAGAGGCGGCCACGTCGTGTTGTGATACAACTCTTGATTAATTTCGAGCTGAGTCACAACACGGCGATGTGAGTTTTAATGCGACGTTGGACGTCCTGAAGCAATACCTCGAGGTAGTTTCAGGGCGTCCAACACTATGTAGACTGTAGTAAAAAAAAGGGTTGAATAATATTAAATATCCGTTTAAATTGTATAATTACACTGAGCATTATATAGTCAATATAATTTTTACGAAAACGATTCAATTTTTAAATAATACGACTTTATTACACAAATTATATTTCTGATTTTTATATGTACAGGATTCTAAACACTCTAAATTTTTTATTAGAAATATAATTTTATAATCTACCCTCATTTAATTTTTTATCTTTGTTGAATAAATACTTTTTATAAGAAAGTATATTTTATTGAGGGATTGAAACCAATATTTCATAAATCTTCCTTTAGCCTGGGCAAAACAAGATTCAAAAATATTTATATCTATGTAAAAATTTTATCAAGGCGGTATTGTGGTGGCCCAATATGTCCCTGAGCAAACGCCTTGAAAGGATGCGGCATAATAATCGTCAAACAAAAATATACACTAAAAATATATTTGTACGATTCTTTGTGCTGCTTGCCGGTGCGATGTTCGTTAAATCAAAAAACATTAAGCTCTAAAACTAGCTACCCAATAAGAAAAGTTCACGATAAATTTTTACTATTAAATAAAATTTTTATGGTTAGATTAGATTTATTATTAGTATAAAATAATTTTTAAAAAAGTTTAATGTTTAAAATATTTATTTATTTCTATTAATTATTGTTTAATGACCAAATAAACTTAAATTAAAAAATTCACCCTAAAAAAAAAAAAAAAAAAAACTAAAATGACGTCTCTGGTTCAAAGTCTTGTACTTAGATCTTGATCGTAAAATTATAAAAAAAATTACCAATTAAACAATATTTAGAGTAGTTTAACTATGTATTACAATTTTTTTAACACGAAAAAGCGTTTAAATTTTTCAAAAAAAAAATTTATTTAAAATCAAAATTTTGATATACTCTTCTTTTGACATATTCTATATTTAAATACATTTTTTATGATCCTAAAAGCAGTCTCCAGGTTAAAATAAATTTCAATACCAAAAATTTATTTTTAGTAAATATTTTTAATTTTAATACTAAAAATTTATTTTCATTTAAATACCTTTGATCAATATATGATAAAATTTTCAACAATTTCTGAACTATTGTAGTGCATAAGGAATTTCCCAATAATATTTTTATCATGTAAATTTTATTATGTTTTGTAATGAAGTATATAGTAGTTTATTTAAATTAAATTTCTCATTGTATGTGCATCACAGGCCCAATATAAACAAAATTATTGAGTAAATCTTATAATTAAAATTAAGGTAGTGTATAAAATTAAACTATTACTATTAATTTTATTATATTAAAATTAAGAATGGTTGATAACTTTAAACCGTAAGATAGATCATGTTTAAATATGTATATTTTTAAGTGCAAAACTGTTAAGTTTCCGAACCTCCCACACGAGTTATTATTATGTTAGGCAATTGTTGCTGGGCGACAATTGATTTAGGCGGGAAGAAAGAACGTAACAAATTATTATTATTATTCTAATTATTATCGTGCGCCCTGAATCATAGAGTGAAACCCGTCGCACAAGGTGTTCGATTCCAAAACATATAAGTGTGTAATATACTTACCGGTATCTTTAAAGTGAAAGTGGTATACTTTGCGGTATGCAACTCACAATTTATTAGACTAAATATTAACAATCTTCTTAATAATTCTTCATCTAACGACCGAACATAAGTGGTTATGTCATCACTGTTATTGTAGAAATCATCACATATTACCTTTTCTGAGATGGCAAAAATAATAAGTTTAAAAACGCGAGGTTACATTTACTATAAGACACGTAATTAATACTTCAGTTGACTACTAGTCTACAACGATGATGATAATACAGTAAAATAATACATTAAATGATTAAGTAACATTTATTAATTCTAAACTCCACAAAAGTATTAAAAAAACAATGATTCACTAAAGAAGGCATGGCACTTTGAAAACTAGTTCCGAACATTCAGATATTTAAATATAATGGTTCAATAAGTGTATAAAACGTTTGCATCGCTCACAATTTTTGTTATGATGCTGTCATTAATTTAAAATTATTAGTCTGATCAAAACCGCATACAAATAAATATTTGTTTGGATAGATTATTGGATACAGTGAATTATTGAAATCTAAAAACTTTGGAAAACACTGTATCCTTATCAATGTATTTTTAAATTTATACAAATTTGATAAAAACCATGATATTACTTTTAAAAGAACGATTATATGTTTAATTATTGAGTAATAGTCTTGTACCTTACAATTTCCTTTTTTTTAATATATTATTTTTATATAATAGATTATTATTTCATTTTAATTGTTGGTCAACTCCTTTGCAATATTGTTTTGTTTTAATATTAATTATTAATAAACCATTGTTAATATGGATATATTTCAATAATTTCACCCTTAAAATGCGCAAGATTTGAAAATGAATTTCAAAGTTCAAGGTGCTCTTTTAGACGGAATCCATACTGATTTTATTGTTGCACTTTTCGAGTAATTAAATTTACTTAATGTAATTTTACTATTATCTTTTTTTTTATAATTTTATGTGAATTGCACGAATAAAGCCTGTGAACTATTATTGTTATTGAAATATTTATAATTTTAATAATACATTACTTTGCTTTTTTGTAGGAATACAATTTTTATCATTGTCACTCAAAACTCAAAACTTGGTACATTTTATTTATATAAGCCTGAATGTTTATCAACTGATGATCAAGGATATGATATAAAGTAATTAATGTTATAAATAATTGATGGTAAAATTTTTAATTATCTTCGAATAATTTTTATTAGAGTCAGCCCGATTTAGTGGGTAGGTAAAATTGTTTTGGCATACAGGACCCCTAGGGAGCCAACGAGATATTTCTTTGACTTTCTCATCTCTGGTAAAAGCTAGCCATAATACCTTTATTGATCTAGCCAAGAACCATCTTTGACTCTCTAACATGTAAAAGAAACCCTCTATAACATGTTAACGTCAGGATATAGAAGGATGTAAAAATAATCATTATTTTGAATAATTTTTATTTAATATTACTGAATTGCTAAAAACTGTTTTTAATATTCTTGTCCCATTTTCAATAATATTTTTTATAATATAAAGAGATTAATAAAAATTAATCTCTTGTGGCTAATACTATTTAAAATAAAAAATATTTTTAATTTTAAAATAAAATCTTATGATTTATTGTTTTTAGTTGAAGTATCAATATTCCTATATAAAGCTACCAAAAATTCTGTTTATGTGATATCTTTTAGAATAAAAAATTATAAATTCCTTAAATTTATTTCGTATAATAAATATTTGTTCAAATATGATCAATATTTATAAAAATCTCATGAAACTGTAAGGTAAAATTTAAAATAGTTAAATTGTAGTTTTTAGTATTTTAATTTATATTATTAATGTCTAAAATCATCTTGTTGCCAATATTTATCTAGACTTTTCGCGTGTAAAAAAAATACTAGTATTGAGTTTCAATGAACAAATAATAAATTCCATATTTTTAGCTCAAAAATGACAAAATTAATCAAAAAATCTAATTGAAATTTAGTTGATTATCTTTCATATACATAATGTAATGATTAATAAATCTATTTATAATCTGTACACAGTGTTTTAAAATTAAAAGTATTAATTAAAAAATAAAATATTGTGTATACGTATTTTTGGAACAATAATACTATCATTAGCGTTAAACACAAGGTTCAAAAAAGTTATACTAACGTGGGTACCAGGACACAACAGTGTCACTGGAAATGAAAATGCTGACTTTCTAGCCAGGAAAGGAGCAGAAAACACCTATGTTGGACCAGAACCAGTGATAGGACTCACTGAGCAATTGCTCAAAGCGCTACCAAAGAATTGGTGCAAAGAATAACACAGGAAAATGTGGAAGTACTTGGTAATACCTAGACAATCTAAAATGTTTATCAAGACCCCTGGTCTACTGTTGGGTGATCTTAATAGCATGACTAGACATCAAATAAACACCTTGACTGGTCTACTGACAGGACGTGTTCACCTGCTTAAACATCTTAACACAATGGGGGTAACGGAATCTCCATTGTGCAGGAAGTGTGGAGTAGAAGAGGAAGACTCATTTTACATTATATGTGAATGTGAAGCCTTATCCACACTAAGATAAAACTACTTGAGTAAACCTTTCCTGAAAAAGAAGATATTAAAAACCTAAAACCCAAAGAGATACTTAATTTCGCCGGAAAGACAGAACTCTTTGGTCATCTATAGGGGTGACTTTATGGTTGGTATAATGTAACAACTCTTCGGTGATAATACTTAGATGGGTAAACCAAACCAAGACAATTCGGTATGAGGTGCGCACAATGGACTGTAAAAACATTTATTACTATGTTCTTACCACTTATATTACACACGTTTTATTTCTATTTATTTAATTCGTAATACATATTAATTAGTATAGAGGGAGATGCTGATGTGACAATTCTACTCATCTGTAGCCCGGAGCTACTGACGTCGAACTAACAAAGGGCAGTTGTGTTTGAGTGGCCGTTATAGACATAGTTTTCAATATTATTACTTTCGTCTTATTTATATTATTTATAACTTAACTTGTTTTATTCAACGACCCGTCTATCACCAATTGTCATCATAGCCAACCGACTCCGTCTCACTTGGATATACCTACTAACCAACTGTACTAGGATTCAGGTCAGACGTATTGTACATTACATATAACTTATATTTACTAAACATCTAAAATATAACTTTACTTTGTCGTTGACATAAAACAATAGTCTAATTTTATTTAATAATCTATCCTCTGTAACTAAGGTACACGATTGCCGCCTGTGTCTCCTTCAGGCAATTAAAACTCATTTAAGGAGATAGGGACGATATTTGGGCAGACGTCGGGTAGCTTCCGATTCTTGGTTTTGACCAAGATCCTCAACTATTAAACAAGCCCCTAACAGGACCAACAGGTCTGAGTACATGGGCATTATGTCCACCTCAATAATAACTAAAACTAGCGTTAAACACATACTGACATATAGTGTTTTAAAATAATAAAATAATTGAGGATAAAAAATAAACATATTATAAGTTTAATTTATTTTATAAAAAACTTATTTGTTTGTTAAAAAATCAATGTTTTGATTATATTTCAGAGTACTATTTGGATGTGAAGATGAAAATCTTACTGCAGGTGTAGCAAGTTTATTGCGAGCTTTAAATATAGATCGCAGAGTTATTATTTGTTTAATGTTAGAAAACTCTAACTTCCGAACTATAAGAGCTATTCAAGAAATTATTTCCAATTTAATTTAAAATAAAAAAATGCCATTGTATGGGCAAGTGGTGATTGGGCCACCTGGTAGTGGCAAAACCACCTACTGTAACGAGATGAGTAAATACTTAACAGAATTAGGCAGACAAGTTGCAATAGTAAATATAGGTAACATAATCATTTTTAATAACTAATGAGGTAAATTAATTAATTATTTTTTTATTTTTTACTAGATCCAGCTAATGATACTTTGTGTTATGAAGCAGCAGTTGATGTTTCAGACCTTATTACTGTTGAAGACGTCATGGAATATGTAAAATTAGGACCAAATGGCTCTTTAATTTATTGTATTGAATTTTTGGAAAAACGACTTGACTGGCTTTTGGAAAAACTCAAGAATTATTCTAATTATTATATATTATTTGACTGTCCAGGACAGGTAAAACAAAATTATACTAATCTGTGTATTAAAATTTAAAATTCTGTTTTATTAGATAGAAATATATACTCATCATAATTCAATGAAGAATATTATGTTGGCAATAAAAAATGAATTGGATTTAAGATTATGCTGTGTTCAGCTTATTGATGGACATTATTGTAGTGATCCTGGTATGTAAACATTTTCCAGTTTCCAACAATTACATCTACTTACTTAAAAGATTAAATACAAAATAGTTATTTATTTATTTAGTTTAATATTTATTAATATAGTGTAAATTTTAAATTAATATTATTAATATTGAATTTTAGTTTTGATAAAATTATTTTGAAGATATTTTTTATTGTACTTAAAAAAGCTAATATTTCTTGAAGATAATAAAAATCACTTTGTCACTAATAAATATATTATATAAGAACAAAAATTATATTAAATCATTCTGTATCAAAATTAAAAGTACATTTTAAATGTATTCATGGCTTAATATTTTTTTAATTTGTGAAGCTTTTCTTTATAGGTCAATGAAATTAACTAAGGTCATCTGAAATGAACCATTTTTTTCTGTAATTTTTTTTTTTTTTTTTGAGAAAATTTAACTTTGTGGAAATACAAAATTTTTTATCCTTTTTAGGCAAATATTTATCAGCACTCTTAATGTGTACATCTACAATGTATCAAATGGAATTACCCCATGTAAATATATTATCTAAAATTGATATTGCTGTTAAACATAGATCAAAATTATTATTTAATTTGGATTATTACACTGAAGTTTTAAGTCTTGATGAACTGTTAAACGCATTGCAAAATGATCCTTTAACTGCCAGGTAAATAACTTCAATTTATTTCTTTAAATTGTTTAAATTTTTACTTATTTTAACAGATATCATCGTCTTAATGAAGCTATTGTTAGTTTAATAGAAGGTCAAAACATTGTTTCATTTATTCCATTAAATGTTAGAGATAAAAGAACCATGGAATTAGCCAGGAAAAATATTGATAAAGCTAATGGCTATGTATTTAATTCACAAGAAAATAAAAGTGCAGAAATGTTAAATTCAGTTATGCAGCTAGATGTAAATGATTTTTCATTTGATATTTTAGAAAATGTACCTAATATTGACTCTCTAGATACATAATAAATTAAATATAAATCAAATGTGTAAAAAAATAGATAGTAATTAAAATAAATATTTAATATATATTAAACATAACTAAATAAAATTTTCATATGTACAAAAAAAAAATTAACTATCAATTAACAAAAATCCTGAACCATTAAATTAATAAATTACCATGATAGGAATATAAAATAAAAATTTACAAATTAAATTCTATATTGTAACCACTATAGTACATAGATAGTATAATTATATTTTATACAAGTATTTAAACAAAAAATGTTTTTCAATGTTAGGAATTTTATACCTTTTTAAAAAATATAAAAGTTTATAAATATGGAAATTTATATCTATTAAAAATATTAAATTGTTCAAGATACTATATACTAAATTTATATGAAATTTTATAGTATTTAAAATAAATTTGTATAATGATAAAATAATTTTATTTAAACATTTTTAGAATGTAATATATAATTCATAAAAGTGATGCAAATGTTTACATTGTATTAACATGTATAAATATTAACAAAAACTTGTTTACTCATCTAAGTTTGTTTATTAACAGCATTACATTAATTATCTTGATTATTTAAAAATTAAATATAATTCATTGATAATGCTTTTTCGTATTCTTCTTCTCTTATGTTATTGTCATCTGTATTATTGATACGGAACCCTAATAATTCAGAAACAGAATCTGATAATGAAGTTTTAGCTTCCTTAAGTTGTTCATAAATGCTATATGCAGTAGTCAAAGCTTGGTCCAAGTTTATTCTTTCAGACAAATTATTAACATGCTAGTAAATTCATATTTTATTAGTTTTCTAGAATTAATATTTATAATAAAATAAAAGTTCTACATACCTTAAGGATTTCAGTAAGTCCATAATTTTCATTAATTATTGTTTCTCTCTCATTATCTAAAATAGCTACACATATAAGTAAATGGAAATTGGAGCATGGCATATCAGTCCACAATACTTCCCATAATTGCATAATATCAGAGTAAACAAACTCTCTTTTAAATAATACTAATAGCCATCTAAAACAAAAATACATATTGCTGGAATCCATCTTTTTTAAATGGCTCTCTAATTCAGGTGATACAGTTGACAACAAATAATGTAAATCATTTAACTGCTTTTTCATCCCAGTTTGTTTTAGTTCAAAGTTGGTATTCTGAAATTATAATATAAAATCTGTTATAATAAACTTGAATTTTGAAATGGAATATTTTTCTCCAAAATCTAACAAATAATTTATTTTTATTGACTTAGTAAAAAAAAAAAATAGCTATTTAGTAAATGTAAATAACTATTATTAGCTTTTCATTTATAACAAATTAATTATTATTGAATAGAAGATAGATGTACATGTTCAGTTAAATTTTTAATTTATATTTATTTATAAAATTTATTTGCTTAAAATAAAATAAATTAAATCAATATAATTGTTACCTTATAACAAAAATCAAACTTTTCAAAGACTAAAATAGTTTTTAATTTTAATTTCAAAATTATTTTTTGAAAAATTAAAAATAAATAATTTTTTTTTTAACGCTTTAAATTCATTAAGGACTATAGCGGCCTCCTCTAAAGGAGGAGGTTTCTTAACCATTGATACTCCAGGATGGGTGGTTAGTCCATTGCCAGAAACAGAAATGGAGATTCCAATTACCATATTGATCTCTCATTTAGCAAATGAAGTCGCCCATGAAGAAGTTTTAAACCTTGGTTTAAGGCAATGAGGCCAAACGAGGCAGTGCATGTCGAGCACTGCCGCGTTCCTGACTCAGCCACACCATCTTTCTAAAAATAAATTATACTAAGTTTAAATCTTAATTTTATTTGTTACTTACAACTCTATTCATGAATCCCACAAAACACCAAAATGATTCAACTTCATCACTATTCATAATAACTAAAATAGGAGATAATAAATCACTCATGCCTTGAACATAGCCAAGATCAAAATTATACATAACATAAGTCATCAATACATTATGTAATTTAACCAAATTATCATTTCTATCTCCAGCATAAAAATCAAGTGTACGATCAGTTCTATAAACATCTTTATCTATTAAAAAAAAAAAATGAAGTGTTAGAATTCATCCTTTTAATCTTATTATGAAATATAACATTGAAAAATGCTATAAAATGCATTGAAAAATAACCAATGCTCGAAAATTACTTCACAACCCCGACTTTCAAAAAAAAATTTAATGAAAGAGCTCAACGATTTTATTCTAAGAAAATTATTTGTGATGATGGACTACACCACATGGTAGTAGGGGCTTAATATCTCACAAAACACTAAGGCGCCGATTTAAAAAAGTGCCTCAGATCTTCCTGTACCGCAGAGTTTCCTCTGTTGCATGTGTTCAGCCGATTCTTTATGGCACATAAGTGACTTGTCAAATGCCTGGATGAGACCCCATGCCTCCCAGCTTCTTAACATTAGGTCCACCATGGACCCGACTTGAAACATAGACCCCAGTTGGGACTCTAAAGAGTACCTCTCCTAGACCCCTTGTCTCAAACCAGAAGAGGGTGTGCAGAGCGTAGCTTGCCTCTCCCGGGTGATCCTGACTGCTCGCACATCAGCATATCTACTTTACAGATACTGTCAAGGTATTTGTTAAAGTAGCTGTAGCCGGACATCACTTGTGTGAGACGATAAGTATCTCAATGTGAGTCCAGTCCTATCACCTGTCCAGGTGGTCAGGTTTGATAACACATAGCCTATAACTTCATAACACAATTTTAATAATATTGTTAAGTGTTAAAATTGTATCATTATTCTATTATTGTGATGACATCAGAATTAAATGTCATCTGCATACTTATTAGATTTTACTATTGATCCTTTTTAAATTTTAATAATTAACTGTTTACTATACTTTTATTATGTTGTGAAGTAATACTTTTTATGTATAATACTTATCTTAGTTGGATATTACTATCAGAACCTATGGTTTACCCATAAGGGACTAATGTGCCATAGGTGCATGAGGGTTACAGGGCCCCAGCTAGGCTGAGTCTAGTATTTAAATGTTAATATCTCCAAAAATAATTTTTTTTAAACATTTACTATAGATGAATGTTGTTAATTAAGAAAAGTAAAGGACATTTTCTACAATATATCAAAATACACATAAATTTTATTCAATTTTATAAAAATTAGCTTTTTGTATCTTATACAACAATTTAAATTTATGTAATAACTAGCTGACATAGTAAAGATCACATTATCACATTAGGTTTTGTTGAATAATACACAAAAACAAAATAGTGAGAAATGAGAACTATGTCAAAAATATCGGACACTTATTAAATCATACTAAGTATACAGGAAAACAACAGTGCATACCAACTTATTCTAAAGATTTTTTTCACTGACAAACTGGTTCCTCTTTTTATGTTTAAATAAATAGACTACATATTCTCTATTAGAAACAATTTAAAACGGTTTAAATTGCAAGATCTTAAGCCTGACCACAGTTAATTATGTTAAATATTATACAATTTTATTTACTTAACCCTTAGATTTTGAAAAACCAAAGTTTTATTTAGATTCATTAAATAGAAAAAAAAGTATTAATGCATACCAATAAGGCTTTTCCTATCTCTATACATGTTGAATCTTGACATTTGATCTGAGGACATATTCATCCATTGAACTTTCATTCTTTCATATTCTACTTTCTTTTGTTCATCAATATATGTACGTTGTTCTCGGGTAGAATTCCAAGGATAATATTCAAGTAAAAATTTCCATACAACTCGTCTCAGAGAATGTTCAACTCCCTTCACGAAAAGCAAAATTCATTTAAATAAATGTAACATGCAATATATTGGAAATACCATTATTTTATTACAATAAAATAACTGCATTTTAACAAATAAGCAATTATATAAATAAAAATACATACCCCATAAAAAATTATACTTTTTATTTCATCTGAATTTATAATGCGCCCCTCTTCATCCATAGATTCATAAAATTTTGTTTGATTCAAAGGCATTTTTCGAGGTTTAATTGAAGGTCTTGGAGGTAAAATTGATGTTGGATGTTCAAGCATAGTATATTCATCATCTTCTTCAGCTCTATTTAACAGTTCTGCTACTTCTTGATCAGGACGAGTATCAGGAGTACGAGTTACTAAACAATTAAATTTTACATTAATCTATACAAAAACAATTTGTAGTGAAATTATTAAACAAAATTACTTTAAAATCTTCTAGAGAAACACTAAATTATTAGTTTTGAACCAAAAAAATTTTTTTTACATATTAAATTTTATATTTATCAACTAAAGGTGCTAAATATGATTTATTAATAGTTCTATAAAACTAATACTATACATTCTTTTTACTATAAAAATTAATGTTAAATGTAAGATTAAATTTGATAATTTAACATTTTTCTCAAAAAATTAATCTTTAAGATCTCATTTTTGATTCAACAAAATTTCAATAAAATTCTGATAATACATGTAATTTTCCTAACTATTTTATTTAATGAATACTTACAAAGTACATCACTTATTTTTGCAAAAGTCTCGTAAGTTTTTTCAACTGGATTATTTTGAAATCCACTAATAAAACTCCAAACTGTACTAGTAGGAGGTTGATCAGGAAAAATTTTTAATTCTTTAATTGATTGACATAATGGATCAGAGTCTTGTCTTTCCCCCAAAACTAACATCACACCAGTAGGCCTATGATGACGTATTTCTCTAAAAATAAATTGTATAAAATTTATACTATTTATATTTAAAACATCAAAAATAATTTAAAATACAATTAATTAGATTAATTACTTTTCAGTGTAAAGAAGAGTTTTTAAAGCTGTAATAAAATCATTTATTGGTGAACTTTCAAATAAAAATGTAACAAGAGAACCATTTGTTTGTAGTATAGATATTTGATGTTTCTTATGCTTTTTTAATTTATAACTCTTCAATGTAGCCAAATTGATTTTAATATCAATATTATGATCATCTATAAAAATTAACTAGTTAAAATGTTTAATTTAGTAGGTAGAATATTAAATTTATTTATTATTAAGCCAACTAAAAGAAAAGCCTATTCTAAATAGTAGACATGAATGAAAACTAGAAATGCCTGTATAATTACATACCAAACTGTAAACTTTGGGAATGGGTAACATTTCAATTCCTTAATTATAAAAGCTAAAGTAAAACATATTAGCAAATCTATTCACAGTTAACACACATAAAAATAAAATTCAAATATAATTGCTCTCGTACTAAGGAAATGTAATAATAATAAGAAAAATTGACATTACACCATAATACATTAGTTTAAATAAGTTCCTCTGAACTTGTTTTATTAATATTAATTTCTTTATTTAAAACACCTACTCAAGTTTTTTTCTTGATTTTTAAATCCTGTGTCAACTATATTCCATTCATCGACATCAGGTACTATGGACATTTCTGTAGGTTTCCATTCTATGAACTTATCAGTCTTCTAAAATACAATAATTTTAATTAATTTTTTTTTTCTAATAATTAACAATAATAATATATGTTTACTTTTTATAACTTAGGTACTTATACTTTATATGTATAAATTATATACAAATAATAAGGAAACTTACATATTTCATTATTTTGAGTATTCCTGTATAGTGTGTTTCTGCATTTTTGTGTCGTTTGGATCCTTTGTGAAGTTTACTTAAACTTTTTATTGCAACACCTTGTTGTACAAAATACTCCTAAAAAATTAAAAAATATTATAGATATATCAATGTTTACTATAATAATTTAAGTTTTATAAACATACTGTGCCAAATTCTTCATCTGATGCTGTAGAAACAGATCCAGTATATGTAGAATTCATATTAGTAATATTGGATTCATACAATACTATCTGTCCAGATGTACCTATGAAATATTTTACAAAAATTAATTTTTTTATTAATAAAATAAAGAAATTAAGTACATTTAAATAAACCTATAATTGCTATTCTAAAATCTTTACCTAAAATAAATTACCTGTGACATCATTTTGTTTTTTTTCTATTACAGAAGAACTTGAAGCCATTGTTTCCATTTTTCTCATTAAAAATAAAATACCTTTTAACAAATTAGACCTTTCTTTTTTATCTTGGTCATCTTTAGCCACTAAATTATCTACACGATTCATTAAGTGGCATAGTTTTGCATCTACTATTCTATATTGTTCACTAAACCTATCTCCCTCAATTTTATCTATCATTGCATTGATAAATTGTAGCTTTTTAACACAAACTTTTATTTCATTCTTCACATCAACTTCTGCATTTCTATTTGTCTCCATCATTTGTTTACCTTCTATTTCAATCTTTAACAAACCTTTCAGAACATGTCTCATTTCATTAATATCATCTAAAGCTGTTATACCTCGAGTTTTCAACTCGTACATCAATTCTTCCTTTTCCAATTTATTAACATCCATTTTTTTAAAAATTACTAAACACAAATTTAATTATTTTATGAATTACATCTGTAATGCTAGCTGTAAGACATGATGTCCTTGGCATAATAAGGTTTTGTAAAACCAGTTGTTATGACTAAATGTTAGTGTCAACACTATGTAATTCGTACTACGCACCGGTATCCCTACTTAATGGTGTTTACAATGTATGGAATGTTTCCATCAATTGAATTACTTTATAATCATTCATAATTTTTTACCTGATCTTAACAATATAGAGGATCCTGTATGTAAAATAAAATAAATTATTGATAAAGGACATGACACATTGTAATTAATTTTACAAAAATAAAACGACTGTAAAAATGTTTAAAAAACTAGCGAAATCACACGAAAGAAAAATTATTTTACTATCATTTCTCAAAATATAATTGATAAGACGTTCACAACGGCCATACTCTATAATAAATTACTCTTCTCGTTATTTGTTCAGGTATACCGTTTCTACAACACTTAAGAATTTAGAATTTAGTCGTTACTCTTGATAAATCAAGTGCAGCTATGTTTAATTCTTATGTTACTCAAAATTAAGATAGCATACAATACATATGTAGTATGATTTGATTTACTTAGTCTATATTAAACAAATTCTCAGGGCTATAAATTACTTTAATACATAATGTTTAAAATTTTATAGACTGTTTTTAGACTTATGTATAAAAAGGTCCCAAAAATTATATAGAACTCATTATTGTCTTTGGATCCAGAATTTTATTTGAAATCTGTAAATTATTAAATTTTGCCTATATTTGCATCTAATATCTATTATTATAACTTACAATTAATTATAGATAAATATTTGCAATTATTATACATCATCAGAGGAGTATCCAGGGATTAAAAGAACTGAGCCTCTCAATTGGCGTACAAAATCAATATTTTAGATCAAAAATTTACAAAAATTAAGTTACCAAGTTATTTTTTGTTATTAACCCTTACATAATTCGGTAGGAGGTGCGCACAATGGACCTATAGGCCTGAGTGCATTGGCAGTTTTTACTCACCTCTATAACAACTAAAACTGAAAATTTTGCCTCGCACATTGAAAAATCAAGAGTATATTAGTGTATATCATACCTCAACTTTTAGAGCTACATGCAGGTATAGTTTTCAATATATGTGTCGTTTTTTCAAATTTTAATTTATAGCTTAACAACATAATTGAAAGTCGATGAAACCTGCAAAGTTAAACATTTAAACTAAAATTGAATAAAAATTAAAAAAATGTTTCTATTAAACTTTAGTAGATAAAAGGTCAAAAAATTGAATATTGATCACATAAAGATAGAGGAGAAAATGAGTAACACATGAAACTAATTATTCACGTATCAATAAGACAATAGATTGTTGCTCTGTTTTCATTTCTAAAGATATATACGTTAATTTAAAAGTCATCATTTAAAAATTTAACGTATCGGAAAATATTTTGTTTTTTTTTTTTAGTGTTACACATTTATTATACAAGATGATTTTTCAATCATAACCCACTCAATTACTTACAAAATAAAAAAATTTCAAAAATAGTAGAAATTTTTATTAATAGTAAATGATATTTAAATTTTTAACTTAACTTTATTAATTTACTAGATAAGTTTCAAATTTTTAAGTTTATATACGTGTATAATACATGATTACAAATAGAGGTTGCTAATAAATTTTTATGACGTCGCTATCACAGATATAAAGCGTTTATGTCAATTATGACTTTATCAATAGATATGCTCTTTATATTGTCAGTTTATATATGCCATTTACTATTTATAAAATCAAAATAATACTTTTAACAATTTTTTTTAATTTAAAATATGTGTTCTCATTTGGAAAAAGAAAGTTGACAAAAGGTTAGTTGATAATAAAGAATTAGCATAAGGGATAAACATAAAAAATATTAGATATCTAACAATTCAAGAATATTATGTAACTAAAAGTAACCAAAACAAATTTGGGATGTCGTGACCCAGTCGCTAACGCGACAGTGTTTAACGCGCACTACCTCGGGTTCGAAACTCGGTCACGGACAGTCTAACTACCCGTCCCTAAGTAGAGTATCAATGGTTTAGTAACCTCCACTTTTGAGGGAGGTCGCTATGGCTTTTAATGGGCTTATAAAACATTAAAAAAAAAATTACCTCAAATATAGATGGGTTGTTCAGTATGTTATCTTGTAACTTTTAATAACATTTTGCGGTAAGTTTTAGCTTGGACGCGAAGATGAGATGATATTAATTATACCATTATGCGTTTATTTTTTTTTTTTTGTCTTTATTACTACTTTTTTTAGCTCTTATTGAACCGATTTTTCTCAACGATAGGTCAAAATCGTATCTAGTTAAAGATATTACCCTTAAAAATTGAAATTTTTTCCCTCAATTCCCATAAATGATGGAAATCCCCTAAAAAATTACGATTTTTATAATAGGTAAATTTCGACATTTTTTTTTAATTTCCATAATTTATTGAAAAATAAACGAATCAAAAAAATATTTTTTTATTGAAACTAAAGATATTACTCTATTATTTGATGTAATTTTTTTGAAATTTTGACCCTTTACCTGCTCACAGGTCGAATTCAAAATAGATACTTATTCAATTTAAGTTTTGAAAAATTTCCGGAAATGCTGTGTCCTTTAAACATATGTCAAATTAAATTTATGTTACATACTATAAATAAAAATAAAAAATGTATTCCAACGCCTATCTTCTATGGGCATATGACCGTTGAAATTGAAAAAAAATGTAATTTACATGTAAAAAATCACATTCTATCGTGATGTTATTTTTATACTTAAAACTGCCATAACTTTTTAAAAATGAACGTACCAAAATAATTTTTTTGTATAAACCTTACGTATCTCCCTTTCGTTGATATAAATTTTTTGAAAATTTGACCCATTACCTGCCCGGTGGTCTCAGCTTAGTTCAAATTCTGCAAAAAGTTTGGAGCGACCATTGTTTCACATTTAAATTAGTAGTCCAATTCACTAAAGGTGTATAGTGTGCAAGCAATAATTATTGCTTTATTATTATTTATTATTCATGTTACAAGTATAATTGTAACATGAATAATAAATAAACCTTAAATAATTTGTTAGAGGAATTTCATTGTGACTAATTATTGAGCCTCGAACATACAAATTTTTATCTACCCCAATAAAATAATTTTGGCTTAAAAAAGAAAATAATACAATAAAACCTTATGAACTCATCAAATTGGTGATTTGAGTGAAGCATTCCTATTTCAGATTATACTAGACTATGACAAACACTTGACCGGCTCATCATTTTACACAAACCCTCTATTAAACTAATTATATAATTTAAAATTATAATATTAAAAACTAATTACTTAAATTTTTAAAGAATGTCATTTAAAATTTTCTTTTTTTTTACATTTTTATCATATATAAAACGTATTTTTTTTTTAACTTTATTGCTAGTTTGTAGGCTTTTAATATTATTTTATCCGATAAAAATAAAAATAATACTTTATAGTCAAGTCATTGCACATATGAAATCATAAAAACTAACTTCAAATCAAGTGATAACTGATAACAGAAGATTGGACTATCTAGGGTTAATGTAAACAGAGTGTCTTAAAAATTGGTTAATTTAACAAAAGTTATTGAAAAAAAATATTTATGTTATCAAATACAATGTTATTTTCATGACAGAAATTTGAATTTTTACTGTTTTACAGATTACATTTAAATGACCCGATATCGCTTTAGCCAGTATATTATACTGGCTAAAATACTTATACTGAGTATAAGTACTTTTCTACCGGTCCTGTTTGGTACTGAAAATTTGGACCGAAACAAATGTCTAAGTCGCCTCCCCCTTAAATGACGAAATTGAGCACCCCTTTGTCATCATAACTTGGAGTATTCAATCAGCACCATAGTTAAATATAATAAATCATTTTTACCTGTCAATTAATATTTTGAAATAATATTTTATCCCCTAATTTTTTTTTATAAATTACCTTTAACTATTTAACTACCTTTTAAATTTTGTACACTTAAAGCTGTTTCAAAGATAAATACATAGGAGAGTGAAAAATTTATATTTGCCGGCATAGTAATTTTTTCAAAATTGTGGCCTATGTTAATTATCATCAATTTGTATCATACTCGTTATATTAAAAAATTGCAAGTTAAAACGATTAAATATTGCCTGCCAAATGAAATTTTGAACACCCCTAGACCTTCTATCAAAAAAATCCTATGTATATTAAAAGTAAAGATTTAAATTAAAAAGATAATAAAATATTAATTTTTTCTTATTGTACTTTATTAATTTTGCTACTCTGAAGTATTCCTTTAATTTTTATTAGAGAAAAAAAATATTTTTTAAGTCGTTTTCTTTACTATTCTAAACATGTCTTATATTATTACATAAATTATTTATATATATTTTGCTTGGTTTGTTAGTTCAATGACACGCAATCTAGATAAATAAAAACTTAAACTGCCCCACTTTCAAACGGTGCCCGTGTAAAAAAATCATGAAATAGTTCAATAGTTAATGATAAAAATTAATAAATATTTTATTTTTTATCTGCAAATAATACAAAAAAAAATAGGTGATGGTCAGTAGCGTTTTAATAACTTTTTATATAGGGAAGGAAATTAAAAATAATTTCTGAATGAAACTGTATATTATTGATCACTTGTGGCTAATATTATAATAACATAGTGAAAAAAACTTCCTAAAATCAATGGATTGATAATTTTAATATAAATTTTAACGCAAACTATTGATACTAAGACAAATTTCATCAATATAAAAATATTTTCCTTGATTTAAATGTTTAAATTATAAAATAATTGTTTTATTTCTAAGATAAAAAGGCATAATTATAGTCTTCTATCTAAAAGGGCATCCGTAGAAATTATTCATGAGGAGTAAAACATATTATTAAATATTTAATTTTACTGTCCACTTAACAGATCCAGCGTTAATAAAGGGTGACCGGTTGATTAACCACTTTTTTTTTTGGAAGTTTTGCCATAGACGCAATAAAAAGCAGCTTGAAACTTTCAAATAACGACATAAAAAATTAAAAAGTTATACACGTTGTCGTATAAACACATAATGTTTTTTAAGGTAGGGAGAAAATACAATTATTATCTTCAAACATGTTATTCTATAGGCGACTATAGGCTTTATAGAAAAAAAATATTAATAAAAGATTTTTTAGTAGTTTTATGTTTTTTTTTTTAAATTAAATGTCTACAAATTTGATAAATGAAAATCAAACCAAGGGGACAACTGCCCTCTTTGTCTCCCTTTACGGACGTCTATGTCTATCTAAGAAAGAAAATATATTATATGAGAATATTAAAGGAAATTGAATAGTTGATGAAATCATCTAAAATTTTACTTAAAAATTACATTTTAGCTTCGATGCGAAGCTGAGAAGGTATTGGTTTTACTATGATGTGTTTTTTTTTTTTTTTTTTTTTTTTTTTTTTTT